TCCATAATACCATACCAAGCTTTGCTCAGGTATTCTGGTGTTAGGATGTCCGCGGCGATTAACATAGGCGCATATGATGCATACGCGTGCATCTCCCGGCGCAGACGTTCGCATCTTAAAAATCATATTGATATATACATATGAGTCTGCATACAATTAAACAAACAGTTTAGGATTGCTGACTTCGAGAATGCACCCAGCCAACCAAGACGCACGATGCACGAGAAAATCATCTTCTAGGTTACCACCTGCTATTTACATGATAATAATTCAATATTTGACCATATTATATTTATAACATACAATGCCACGGCAATCCCCACGCCTGTGCAGCCCAGGCAGCTGTCCGAGGCAACCCGTATGTAGTACAGCTGCGATGCAGCTGCCTTTTCAAGGACGCAAGCATAAATTGTCAAACAGCATAATCTAAAGGTACACTTAACCAGCCCAGCACTATGATGGGCAATTCTGATGCCAATTTGCCAAGTGTCATGCCCTCTTTGATTCGGCGGCTTTTACGCCGAGGACCTGGTTCTGGCATATTCGTGTATGCATCGCTTGTCTCAGTAACATTCCTTGGTCTGCTGGCGGTGATGCTGTTGCTATCTGGCGGCCGCCTGGCTGAGGTCCGCCCGGAAGGCGGGATTCCGCAGCACCGCATGGCGTTCTCCGACCCCACACGTCTCCCAACCAACATCCAGATCCGGGATCTCATCAACACGACCAACGCCACTATCACAACCACCGCACCATGAAACACGGTACTGGACACGAGGGTGAGGTGAGGGAGGGGATGGGGGATGGGGATGAGGGATGAGGGATGAGGGATGAGGGATGAGGGATGAGGGATGAGGGATGAGGGATGAGGGATGAGGGATGGGTTTGAGGGGGCGAGCTGGCGAAGGTGGTGGGGAAGAGGAAGGGGGTGGAGGCGGTCAATTCGGCGGCTATTTAATGAGACATTCAGTGCTCTCTTTTTGCTCGGTAAAGGGTGGGGAGTCGGGGAGAAGTTGGACTGGAAGCTGATCACCGGGAAGGTGGAAGTCCCCTGCCGGTGCTTACAATATAAAAATAACGTAAGAGAGCTGAGGGGGGAGGTGCAAGACCGTGCCTACTACCTTTCACCGGCACGAGCAGCAGTCGCAATGTGTCGCCGTCACAGGCTGCCTGCGGACGTCCAGCCCACCCCGATCCCGAAAGTCCTCCAATGGTGCTCCACTGCACCATACACACTCATACAGGAGTGACCCGTGGGTCGGTGCTGACCGCCTGGAGGCTGCTGAGGTGCAACCCCTGGGGTGAGTGGGGTAACTGAAACCCGGGGTAGGAGAGCATGGAGGGATACGTGCGTGGCCATCAAAAAACACACACGCACACATACACGCACTATCCCATCCCCGTCGCCCCCTCCCTTCGGACTTTGGACGCCGGAAGCAGTTCATTTCTGCGTAATATTCCTGCATGTTATTCCCCCTCCTTCCCCTCCTTCGCGTGTGGTTCGTCTTTCCCCCTCCTTCCCTTGGGTCGTACGGGCCGCAGGTGGCCGTGGGTACGACCCCCCCGCCTGGCCTCCCGTCGGCTTGGAAGCCCTCTACAGCCTGCCGTTCACCCCGGAGATCAGCTTGGTGCTGGGACTGGCTGCTGCTTACTGGCTGGTTGCCTCCACTTTGGAGTCCCTGAGCTTGTAGCTGGTAGTGGGTGGTGTAGATGGTGTCCTGTGCGGTTGGTGTACTGGTAAGCTGGTGGTAAACGGCGGCAGCCGATGGCAGATGCTGGGGGTGCGGGTGTAGGTGCTGGCGGAGGCGGGGGTACCTGGGGATAGGTGTGAACGGTACATGGGGTTTGGATCTCTGACGGCTAGCCGTTCATGCCCTGATGGGGATAAGGTCAGTAGGGTGAATGGAGGCCGGGGCGGGGCCAGAGTGGGGGCCTGTGCCCCCAGGAGGATGCAGCAACGGCAGGCGTGTGGTGGCGAGCTGGAGCGTGGAATAAGTGGAGGAGCTTGTCGGGGTAGGAAGGAAGATTGGCCGTGGTGATGAGGATGATAACGGTGTGACTATACAGAACATGCGCTGCCATGGAAAAGTTCCCTACTCCGTACCGTCGCCGTACATCCATACAGCGGCTTTCCTGAGATCAAAATTAAATTCAAAGCAAATCAAATTTTCTGAGTGAGAGTGTTCGGCCTGCGTCAAGCTGCGTTCTGCGTATGGCAAATGTACGATATAACATCATACATTCAATGTACGACTTTAACTACATGGGCCTCTGGGCTACCCGCATTACGAGCCGGAGCGGGACCAGCAAATCGCCCAAAGTCAATAAGCAAGATTAACCACTGTTCTACGACATCCAGATGCAAGAGGGAAGAAAATAACGCATTCGGTACGATGTGTGTGTGTGTGTGTGTGTACGTGGTCGTGGGGTGCGTTCCCCGTACCTGCAAACCGCCCAATAGGAGCCGAGGGCTCAAGGACTGTCGAATCGCCCATAAGCGCCGTCTAACCTTGCACTTCAGGGAAAGCAAGGACAAAGGAGATAACGACCAAAGGGAACGATAGG